TGCCCATCGTTTCAAATCATGTTTCGTCCAAAAACAAAGAACCTGATAGCTAAAACACAAATTGAGCGTGCATCCAGAACACAACCGCCTTTCGGCACTGAGCTCCTTGGCCCTATGTCATGCATGTGACATGTCAGAAAAATGTCTTACCTTACGGAACCAATAAGAAATCTGGATTTTGAATGGTACATGCTGGAATTTTCCAAAGACAGGTTGCAAGGCATTTTATCTTGCAGCCATCTACCGATAGTTGTGATCTGCATCGATCGATGATAATGAAAGTATCGATGATCGTGCCCTTCAGGTGCACCTCGAGTGACGTCAACCATATCTCCTTCGCCTCTACGAAACCTGCACGTAACGACGACTGATACCAGAACGTCAGCTTCTTGAGTGAACGAACAGTTTTTTAGACTTGTGCTGTAATCAGCAGCTAACATTGCCGATACTGACTATTTTCGAACACTGCAAGAATAATTACACAGCCTGGAACTTTGTGAATTTCCCATTGATCTAGGATGTGATCAGTTCTATGAAAGAAATGATATTTATGTCAATTTGAAACAAGTTAAAAAGATGCGACTTGTTTTGGGGCACTATATGTTGTTGATTGTCTGTGTTTAATACTGATTAGTATTATATTGTTTGCTGAGCTGAACCTTCTTTTGTGTGGATATTTGAAACTACAACGATTGCGGGAATGTTTAACGTTATACTCGACAATATTCAACAACTCTCTGTGCTCTAAGTCAAGTCTGTGTTTTATTTTGGAGGCTAATTCTAGCTGGAAATCTGTCCTCAATGCTTGTGGCGGCAAAAAAGACATGGAACAAACACAAAATTTCTTTTCTTTGCGCAACATACTCATGTTTATGTGGTTTAAACGGTAGCTATACCCTGGTTCGATTCTCGACAGGGTTAAATGTGTTAAGTTCAATCTACATTCTCCGATGTGAAGTGGAATGGGCTTTTAAACCAACTGATTCATTCATATGCCTAAAGTTTTATAAAAAATATGTCGTTTATCACATCGTCTCAAATCGATTAGGTTGGCCTTGTTTTTGCCATGTACACGTGTCCACTCTGTGAAGAGCTGATAATGTTGTGTTTATTTGAAATGAAACTAAAAGGAGATCATGGCATTGCAAATGCATTCACATTCAAAGTTTTTTATTGTGTGAAAAACAGGCACATCGGATATTACCCCCCTTCCGTTTACATGATTTGTCCATTGAAGACAATTCTTCGAGCTTAGCCATTATTTGGTAAAATATTCATTTCTGAAAAAAATGTTACGTTGAATGGCGTATTTTGAGCCCTACATCGAGATAGTGCTATCGTTTAAATGTATATTTCATCGATCATGCATAAATGGACTAACGTGAAACACGTCCAAGGAATTAATTTATCACATGAAGCGAAAATAATTGCACAAAACATTCCTATGTTGGAAGGCACAACTCGTTATTCAAGCAGGCAGCTTAGGGATAGAATCATGTTGTTTAATTTCACCGTCTGATACTCAGATTGATTTTGTGCTGGGGTAACAAATATGCATTAGCATTCCGAGTCATTATTGTTCTTATTCTTGGACTTCATCAACCAGGATTGCATGGCTTTTTCATGCCTTTCGGGTTGAACTGTGATTCTGGAGTCATTTTGTTACTGACATTTAACAGGCATTCGCCAACGTTTTGGTTTGGATGGAATACATCATTACACCGAGTGTTACACGTCGTTAATAATTAAACCTGTGTGGGCAGGAAAATATATTGCTGATCTAAACAAAAGCTGGAAACAAATACAAAATTGAGAACATGGAATAATTTGCTAAAATCAATACGGAACCTGATGTATGAAAGTGAAAGAAGCTGGCTAAGTTTGTATATTTCAGTTACTTGATTGATTGATTGATTTGAAGCAACAGATACAAAAGTAATTCTATTACTGAAAAGATACAAAAGTAATTCTATTACTGAAGTAACTGATACAAAAGCAAATTCTATGCAACGGAATGTCATGTATATATATTCATTTTGACAGATGATTGTAGTCTTGGGATAACGAAAAGGGTTTGTCGAGTTTACTTGTATAGTAGTTTTGTTGGATTGCTACAAAATGTAACTGCAATCTATGCTTCGTATTTGAAAAGCAGTAATACACTATTCATCTATCCCTGTATACCTGCCCCTCTTGGTTAAAAGCGTATATATCAAACAGTAGCCTATACCTTTTTGGCTCCCAACCAAGCACAATATCCGCACCATGACTATACGTAGATATATGTAATTTTGATCATATTCTGTTTTTATATACGTGACATGAAGAAAACGATGACATTCGATAATAATTCTAATTTGACCGGGAGATTACTCAGAAAGGCTGTATAATATCCATCTGTCTTCATCTACTGAAACAGATTTTCTGTAACGTGTTCGTGAAGGTGTGCATGTGATCTTGTTCTGTTTTGTTCATTGTAACCAATTTTCACCACGAAGTGACCAACACGAACAGATGCCTACAGTCGTAGATAGCATCACGTAATCTGTCTGACTAAATATGCTTAAGTGTGGAGGCAAAGCTGATACGTGCTATCTCGTTTGTCCTTTTATTTGTCCACGACAATGATAGAAAAATGCAACACAGACTGGTGGAATAATCTGATCATAAATGTCTAGACTTGGCCTGGTAACTGAACACTATTATCCTTCCGTTTCAGTGTGTCTCGTAATTACTATTCTGTCGAATACAAAGTAATTATGTGATGTGTTTTCATGTTACAAACATTCATTTTAGTGTATTTGAGCCATGGGACAAATCCTTTACTGAGACAGAATTTGTGAAATGCTGAACATCCTCATTGATAACATCTATGATGCTTCTTGAAAGTGCCTTTAAGCAGGCATCCTCAGGTTCCACCCTTGCTGATCTGTTGATTATACTTAGACATGGTGAGTTGTAAAGAGCTATGGACAAGATTTTATGTCATATAATATATAAACAAACCAGTCAGTCACGTGATCGATGAACCGGATATGAAGTTGGATAATTTGGAATTAGGACAGAGATTTCAATGCATCAAAGTAAAGAATAACATTTGGGAAATGGATCTATTTGACAACACATTCAGAGTCAGTTCACAACTCTTGCTTTTGTTTGTCAGGGTTACAAATCAAAACGTTTTTGGTGGACAAGTGGAGGACATTTCCAAATTCAGTGTGAAGTGTCATGCAATTCCCTTTGGTAAAACTCTGAAAAGTAAATGCCTGTGTATGAGGCTACGCCCACGTTTCCGCAAGACCCTGATATCCAGGACCCTTATCACCACCTTGCAAGACACACACACACACACACACACACACACACACACACACACACACACACACACACACACACACACACACACACACACACACCACACACACACACACCACACACACACACACACACACACACACACACACACACACACACACACACACCACACACACACACACACACACACACAGTGTTCTTGTAACCAGGTGGCTGAAGGTCACGTTTGATCATATCGAATTGAAGGACGTTATCCCATAAAATGTGATTTTACCGAATTGTGTTAATTTGTGTGCGAATCATGTCGAATACAAGTTCTCGATGAATTTTTATGACCTGTTCCGTTGCTTCGTGTGATCTATTGCAAATTGTAAGAGGTCTCGTAATCGTTTACAGCATGTCATTTATCAATACAACGATTTTACATTATCATTGACAGGCTTCCTAGTTGGACAATAGTAATGGGTCTATAATTGTGTAATTGCAATAGAAATACGATATACCCTCTGGGAGAGAGCAATTAATTATCCGCGTTAAGTTTAGAATTGGTGTCTGTTTACTGTATGTGGGAAATGATGCAATCTCAACGGCAACAACTGCATGTCCTGGAGACACTGATTGATATATTTGTGACTTCTTTGATGCACATACGAATCCATATCGACAATTTCAAACTACGAAGCTCAAAATATACTAATAACACACAACATATACTCATGGAAACGAATAAGGGAAAATATGAAAGTACAAGAGTTCCTTTATTTATTTCCAGACTTTCAACCAGAGTGCATTATAAAGCATGAAAAGGAAACCGGAAAAGAGTATGGGAACACTTGCACTTTCGTGTGTTCCCTTATTCGTTTCCATGAGTATATCGGAACACTTGCACTTTCGTGTGTTCCCTTATTCGTTCTATTTGTTGTAGGATTATTGTCCAACAGATCAGTGCATCTTTATGTTTAGGGTGCAAATACTCTATATGTTTATTGTAATGCTACTGTGTCCAGTTTCAACTTGATCGGTATCATAAACTGCTACTTACTCGACTGTTCTTTCTTTCTATAACAGGGGAAATTGATAAAAGGCATAACATAAATCTCAAAGCTGACTGACCTATATTTATCAGTAGATATATGCAGATGACCACGATGATGATTATGTTATATACTACCGCACTAAGTCTGTTTGCCTATATATGTTATAGAATCAGAGCGATGATATTTTGAAATCATGTCCGTAACGCAACAGCGCGTTCAGGGCCCCGTTCCTCAAAGCGATTGTAGCGCTACAACAGTCGTAAGTCTATGTTAAAGTATGGGAGTTACGATCAACTTTGCGCTACGATCGCTTGGAAGAACGGGGCCCAGGTCTTTTCGTGACATTAGGGTTAAGGACATTTAAATACGAAAAAGTGATCAAGATGTGCATTTATGTGTAGATGATAATGACATAAAGTGTTTGATACCACGAAATGATGATATACTATATGGGATAATACAAATATTAATTCAAAAAGGTTTCTACATGTACAGGAAAAACACGAGTGTCTGAACAAACTTAGTTTATGACGATTGTTTTTACTCAAGAACTGACTTGAAATAGCTTATACAAAACTAGCATGTTAATAATCAAATTTCTCCTGAAAACCTTAAATCTCTACATGTCAGTGTTCCTCTTCATTCCAGGTCCAATCTATTCAATTATCCTGCTCCTCGCCAGTCTCAACAGTTGTACCAATCCCTGGATCTACGTGGCCTTTAGCGACACCGTCTGCAGCGAACTGAAGAAGCTCTTTGTCCGACAAAACAGAGGCCGGAGAGACGACCAGGTCCAATGTGTTTGTGTTAGTTGTTTTAGAACTGCAGACCCACGTGCCAGCTACCGTCTCAGCCAAAGATGTGAAACCAACTAGACAATGTACAATACCTGCACAGACACATGTGGCAACACGATGTCGTAAAATGGACCTTTTCAAGACAGCCAACCTGTTCATTGTCGTAAACATCATATATTACTAATTCTTACTTGATAGATATGCATTGAATTGTTGATCACTGGATTATCTGATCCAGACTCGATCATTTACAGACCGCCGCCATATAGCTGGAATATTGCTGAGTGCGGCCTTAAACAACACTCAATCAATGTACATTTAAGCTAACAATATAGGTAGGCATGAAGAAGTAAGAGAAGAGAACATGGACAATGTACATATTTCACTTCCGTTCACGGACAATATCCATGAATGTTCATAATTCATTTGTACCATAATCTCATGCTAACATTTTCATTTTGTATATATTGATAATTTACTGCAAGGAGTGTTAGGTTAATATTTCCATATACTCATGTCTTGAATAGGAAAGAGGAATTAGTGATATGATTACAGAAGTAATCAGTGTAAATGTCAGAAAACCTCTTGATGTCAATAATCTGAGCTCTCATTAAATGTATTGCAACAAATCAAACATCAATGTGAATTATGTGTGTGATAATTAGAAATAATGTGGCTGTAATCTCATGCAATTGAACATGGACCAATCAGGCTTTTCACATGTAGATGGGAATATGCACGCTGCCTGTAATTTTGTAAAGGATATTAATGATTGTATATATGCATGTCACGCTAGGGTTTAGTTGATTCAAGTTTGATTTTGAACTGACATCATTTTGAAAAAGAGGAATAGATGTATGTTATTTTGCCAGTTTTCACTAACGGATCAAATATTTAATTAATCAAGTATGTCCAACAACTATGTACTCAGCATGTATATATATGGCTGCCACATAATTGTCTCAATCAGTCTTGTTCATTCATATTCAATGTGTGTCCACGGACACTGGATATTCCAGTAATCGCACCTAGTTGATTTCAATTTAACTGGTTTGTGATCCTGAGCTTGGCAGTGCGGAGCCCAATTCGACAAGAATGGTGTGACTAAGCTATTGTTATAAAGTAAACCCCTCACTATCGATACCATTTTAGAGGAATTTCCAGGAATACTGACATCAGTTAAAAAGCATGACCGTAGCACTGATACTTGGTTAATGCTTCGAGCTCTAAAGAAAAGAAAATATTTTGACACATGCCGCATACCACTAACTTTCAAAGGTCATGGCTGTCTGGTTTCAACACAATGGAACGTATTTATGAGAGGAACCAACTTTCACAAGACATTGGCATTGTGATGACCCTTGACGCACAAGCGATGTAGTTTGGGTGCCGGGAAATGGCCTATCATTGATTTTAATCAAACCTGTTTGTGTTTGAGAACAAAGCAAACTGATTTTGGACGCTGTGATTACATCGGATCAATTCTTACCTTTCCTAATTTGATCAAGCAACATTTATAAATGCACAAGAAGGAACGTGTATTGAATGAGAAGAGCCTTGAGGACTTACAGAAATATAGTGTTGCAAATCTTCCGTTCAACAGTATTAATATTAACGACTGATTCGATGAAGCATTCACCATGGGAATTTGTAGTTACCCTTGATGTTTCCACAAAATGACTGACAAAGAGCAGATGTCAGAATAGGTCGGATTTAATAAAGCTGTTTATAAAACATCTTTGAACTCCCCAACATAAGAAACATTCACATAGTGGAGTGGTACACTGAAGTCTTTGTCGATGTACATGGCGTTCGGTTTCGTTCTCTATTGAGTTCATAATGAAGGATAATTACATACACACATTTTCACTTGGATGTGTTTTAGGTATGATTATATTCTCTCTTGGTATCTATTCATCAGTTTCCATTGATTGCAGTTGTGTTTACCGTGTTTAACATTTGCAAGACTTTACTCTTCGATTAATAAAATAATTCTGTACTACCAAACTGTACTGTGTGTTCATGGCAACCACAAGCATCTTTTTATACTATAATTATTCTAATAATATGTAGGTTGATTAGCGAGAAATACAAACTGACTTAAATGTGGGCATTCTGAGCACACATTCAGCGAACATTCAGTGAAGGCTCTATATTTTACGGCCCGAAGCGTCCATAAAACCTTTTTACATGAAGGCTGCTTTAGCTCATGCATTATGAGCTAAAGCATTATTTTATTGTACTTCATATAACTGTCATGTTATGTTTGGTCTATTTGGTACGTTTTATGTGAAATCCTTAATGCTAACGTTACTGTTTTACTCTCTTTCGTTCAGTTGCAGAATTCGTTCTCATCACTGTATATCACTGAGATATTGGTTGAGACGTAGAGAGTGAACTCACTCACACCAATGGTATGAAAAGCATCATGAACATATAGGACCCACAGTGGACACCACAAGTCCACATTATACGAGCACACAATATACACGACGTGCACTTGATACTTTCACACAGTGGACATCACAAGTCCACATTATACGCCCAGACAATATACACGACGTGTACTTGATATACTGACACAGCAGACACCACAAATCCACATTATACGAACACATAATATACACGACGTGCACTTGATACCTTCACACAGTGGACATCACAAGTCCACAATATACGCCCAGACAATATACACGACGTGTACTTGATATACTGACACAGTGGACACCACAAGTCCACATAATTCGTCCACACAATATACACGACGTGTACTTGGTATGTTCACACAGTAGACACCACAAGTCTACATTATACGCCCAGACAATATACAAGATGTGTACTTGATATTTTCACACAATAGACACCACAAGCAGAAAGCAGTCCATCACAATATACGTCCACACAATATAGACGACGTGTAGTTGATATATTCACACAGTAGACACCACAAGCAGAAAGCAGTCCATCACAATATACGTCCACACAATATAGACGACGTGTAGTTGATATTTTCACACAATAGACACCACAAGCAGAAAGCAGTATATCACAATATACGTCCACACAATATAGACGACGTGTACTTGATATATTCACACAATAGACACTACAAGCAGAAAGCAGTCCATCACAATATACGTCCACACAATATAGACGACGTGTAGTTGATATTTTCACACAATAGACACTACTTGATAAGCAGAAAGCAGTCCATCACAATATACGTCCCACAATATAGACGACGTGTACTTGATATTTTCACACAGTAGACACCACAAGCAGAAAGCAGTCCATCACAATATACGTCCACACAATATATTCACGACGTGCAGAAAGCTTGATATATTCACACAATAGACGTGTAGTTGATATTTTCACAAGCAGAAGCACAGCATATCACAATATACGTCCACACAATATAGACGACGTGTAGTTGATATATTCACACAATAGACACCACAAGCAGAAAGCAGTCCATCACAATATACGTCCACACAATATAGACGACGTGTAGTTGATATATTCACACAGTAGACACCACAAGCAGAAAGCAGTCCATCACAATATACGTCCACACAATATAGACGACGTGTAGTTGATATTTTCACACAATAGACACCACAAGCAGAAAGCAGTATATCACAATATACGTCCACACAATATAGACGACGTGTAGTTGATATATTCACACAATAGACACCACAAGCAGAAAGCAGTATATCACAATATACGTCCACACAATATAGACGACGTGTAGTTGATATTTTCACACAATAGAAACTACAAGCAGAAAGCAGTCCATCACAATATACGTCCACACAATATAGACGACGTGTACTTGATATTTTCACACAGTAGACACCACAAGCAGAAAGCAGTCCATCACAATATACGTCAATATAGACACACTTGATATATAGACAGAAAGCAGTCCATCACAATTTACGTCCACAAAATATAGACGACGTGTACTTGATATATTCACACAGTAGATATCACAAGTGCACTAAATGCCGCCAAGGGAGGAGCTGAAAATTAGTGGTGTACTTGGTAGAAGGTGTTGTGGTAGAAGCTTTCCTTTCTATTTGTCTTTTGGACAATACTCTACCTTCAAAATTCGGAATTACTCGTGATACTTTCCACCAGTAAACATCACACATACAAATATACATAATACTTTTACATGAGAAATATCACGACCAGGACTCTCGATATTTTCACACTGTAAACATCTATAATTTGTTCACTTGACAATTACACACAACATTTATCTCAGGTACACGTGAGACTTTTACACAGTAACCATCGTGACTAGTAAGCATCACGAATACACACAATACTTCCACATAGAAGATATCACGACCAGTACTCTCGATACTTTCACATTGTAAACATCTATAGGTTGTGGACTTTCACACAGTAAAGGATTCGAATCCGCACATGGGTACAATGTGTGAAGCCCATTTCTGGTGTCCCCCGCCGTGATGTTGCTGGAATATTGCTAAAAGCGGCGTTAAACCAAACTCAGTCAGTCAGTCACACAGTAAACATAAAAAAACTGATGATATTTATAGACATTAACCGTCGCATGAACATTCGATAGTTTGAGAGAGTGCACCTCACAAGTACGCACACCGGTACACATGCCAGTTTCACACAGTACAAATTCAAAGTTTATTTTATACTTCAACATAGTCGACATCACATCTAAATTTGGTACTTTCACAGAGAGCAAATGAGATCAATACACACGATACACACAGTAACCATCACGATTGTTCATCCTAATTCGGGTATCTTCCCATAAGACAGACCTCCCAAAAGACAGACCGCTTAAAACAACACATTTTATGGTTGGTTGCATAAGGCTTAATGAAGCTGTACCTTTGATAATAATGGTATGTGCCCAGATAAAAGAGACAACATTAGGTATTAAATATAGTTTTATCAATTCCTGTAATGAATTATGATTTTTAAATTAAGACATATTGTATCAACAGTCAACACATATGTACATCAACATCTATTTACCAGATCACATTTACTTGTGAATATCATCAAAAACAATAATTTATATATACATGTACCTATCAAACATATGAGACCAAGCACCATATTATTTTACATCACATGTCAGATAAGAGCACAGATAACACTTATTAGAAAGTCACTTGAACATCATCATTTTCTCCTTTCATCTTGCTCTTGGCATACAGGTTGATCGGAAAAAGGGCACAGAAAAAAAGTCACGGGAACATTAACTAATATAAACATGTTTATACTGAATTTTATAAATACTATTTCACTTTCATCTTTACCAATAAAACCATCCTGTTCTCCAGTTATTTGCAAAAACTAATTCAACAACATGTAAATAAGCTTATTGAGGACCAGCTTGGTATCTTCATGGAATTGTTGATATTACTTTACGCTGACGATACTGTCATATAAGCTGAAACAAGTGATGGATTGCAAAAAACTTAGAATGTGTTTGACCAGTATTGTACAGAATGGAAACAGTGTGTGAATTTAGATGTCTGTGATGAACTTCACTTTTTATTATACTATGCCCTCAGAAATCCATTTCTTCCCCAATATTTCTGTAAACATCGTACTATTGAAAAAGTTGTTTATCTAATGAAATGTGATTATTCACCACATAACTCTAAAGTTGCCAATTTTATCAAAACTGGACTTTTCCCAATGTTATACTATGTATCAATATGCTGTATGTTCTGTGTCACTATATGTGATTTTTTAGAATAAAATTTCGGTTCTATTCTGTTCTGTTCAGTAAAAGGATTAGTAATATGTTTTGAGAAGAGCACAGGAGATAGGAGTGTGCTGTTACTATACTCTGTAGTGACTCTGGGTCAGGTCATTAATTAAATAGGGGTGGACAGCATGGCTTAGCTAATTAGTGTACTCACTGAGTCTGTCTTTTTGGAGGTCTGTTTTTTGGGAGTGAACCCTAATTCGGGGCGGAGGGGTAGCCTTGTGGTTAAAGCATTAGCTCGTCATGCCGAAGACCCGGGTTCGATTCCCCACATGGGTACAATATGTGATGCCCATTTTGCTGGAATGATATTGCTGGAATGTTGCTAAAAGCGGCGTAAAACTAACTCCCTCACTCCCTCTCTCTAATTCCATAAATATAAATAAATAAAATGTACGGCGTTAATATACATACATTCCATTTTACAGTGGCATTTCTCCAAACACAACCATGTCATTTTTAAGGAGAAACAAATTGATTTATTACACTTGCAAATGTACAAGTTTATCTAATGTGGTCCAATTGCCGTTTATGATCAGTCCCACTGCATGGTAATTGGTCCCTAAAGTGTTATGTAGGCATTAGTGGTGCGTTATGCTTATTAGGCGGAAACCCGAGCTTCAGTATATGTGTATATAGCTGAAGTCTTAACTGAGATAATCTAATGAGTATTGGTAACAGGAAGGAATAAATCTATCCTGATATTATCGTGGGTCTGTTGTGTATTCAGTGGTAGAAATTAGTCGCAGCTCTGTGTGCATCATACTAACGATATCGATTCATTCAGGAAAATACCAGATGTGCAATTGGTTTGTCACCACTAATGGGAAGATCATTGGCAACTCCGTCTGTAACAGTGGAGTTCCAACGTGCTGCGAATATGCATCTGATAACGTCTGGACAATTGATCTTGTTCCGAAGTCGTATATTTGAAAACGACAAAAACCCTTTCCATAATTATATGAAGTTGCTGGTAAAAAGAGTCTAAACGAACACTGTAACCTAGCAAAAACACAACAGCGTTATCACAATCTCTCGCCATGGTGGGCACATTAGAATTATGTTTGGTCATACAGTATAATATGGAAATAGATGTTAACTAAAATTAAAAGAGTTACAGAAAGCCTTAAAAAGAGACACTCATAGCATTGTAGCATTGTGATGTGGGGTATACGGGGTTTTATGAGTGCCGTGTTAGGTTTTATCCGCCGTGCCGGGGAAGACGC